CCCTGAGAAACCTGAGAGCTATGTGGGGATCTTCCACTTCCAGTTCTGGCGTTTCGGTCAGTGGCTGGATGTGGTGATTGATGACCGCCTGCCCACACTCCACAATCAGCTCATCTACTGCCACTCCAACTCCAAGAATGAGTTCTGGTGTGCCTTAGTGGAGAAAGCTTATGCAAAGTAGGTACCCAGGCAGTTGCAGGATAAACTGTGACCTGGACACCTGTTTTTCCTCTCCATTCATCAATTGGTTTGCAGCAGTGGAAATTACAGCTTTCCTGGGGAGGAAGACAGGCAAAAACTAATAAAAAACCCCATCTCAGGGGTTAATGTACCCACAAAGCAAAATATCCTACAATGGTTCTGTAAGCAATACCTATCCTAGAGATTTTGAGTTCCCTTTACTTTAATCCTATGACAGCAAGGGTGCTGCAAGCATCATAGTTCCTATTTTTTCACCCTAGTTTGCTGTTCTCACCCACTTAACAAGGGACCTGAGAGTTTGGGTAGACAGAAAGCTGCACATGAGCCAGCAGTGTGCTCAGGTGGCCAAGAAGGCCAATGGCATCCTGGCCTAGATCAGGAACAGCATGGTCAGCAGGATCAGGGAGGTGATTCCGCCCCTGAACTCGGTGCTGGTGAGGCCACACCTTGAATGCTGTGTTCAGTTCTGGGCCCCTCAGTTTAGGAAGGATATTGAAGTGCTGGAACGGGTCCCGAGAAGAGCAATGAGGCTGGTGAAGGGACTCAAGCACAAGTCCCATGAGGAGAGGCTGAGGGAGCTGGGGTTGTTTAGCCTGGAGAAGAGAAGGTTCAGGGGAGACCTTATCACCCTCTACAACTCCCTGAAAGGAGGTTGTAGTCAGATGAGGGTTGGTCTCTTCTCCCAGGCAACTAGCAGTAGGACAAGAGGGCACAGACTCAAGCTCTGCCAGGGGAGGTTTAGGTTGGATATTAGGAAGAGATTTTTTATGGAGAGAGTAATCATGCATTGGAATGGGCTGCCCAGGGAGGTGGTGGATTCACCATCCCTGGAGGTTTTCCAGATGAGACTGGATGTGGCACTTAGTGCCATGGTCTAGTAACCACAGTAGGGCTGGACTCGATGATCTTTGAGGTTGCTTCCAAGCAGGTTGATTCTATAATTCTATGATTGTGCCATCGCTGTCACCGTCTTTCAGGTTGTCAGGCTGTTATGAGGCCCTGGATGGAGGCAACACAGCTGATGCCTTGGTCGATTTTACTGGTGGAGTCTCTGAACCTATTGACCTGACTGAAGGGGACTACATCGCTGATGAAGCCAAGCGAAACCTCCTCTTTGAACGTGTGTTGAAGGTGCACAACCGTGGAGGCCTCATCAGCTGCTCCATCAAAGTAAGCAACATTACCTGTCTTACACTAGTAACCTTCTAAATTAGATCAGAGAAATTGTGGCCAAGGGTTCCTGCTTCTTCTTGTGGATGGCAAAATGCCTCTGTGCTGGCATTTCCTCATTGCTATGGCCAAGAGCCCAGATTCATCTCACCACCCTTTAAATGTTAAGAGGGGATTCACTCCAGAGAAAGGAGTTGTGGTGTCTGCATGTGGACATCTCTACAAATTCTGGTTGCCAGACCTCCTAGTATAACCAGTAGAATGAGCTTTATTTGTTGTCAGTATGGGAGCTCAGAGACCTTATGAAGCAGATGAAGAACAGGAGGGATCTAGCAGATGTAATGGCATCTGAGACATCTGCCAGCTGGCTCTTACTGTGACCATTGATGCTCTTCTTTTTGGCTTAAAGAAACCTGCAGGGAAATCTGAGCTCCACTGTTGGGGGCCAGGCCCCAACGCTCCATTTTTTCCCAGTCCCTGGAAAGGCAGTCACATCCTCCTGGTCTGAGCACTGTCTGTGTCCCCCTGCCTAGGCCGTGTCAGCAGCTGACATGGAGGCTCGCCTGGCCTGCGGACTGGTGAAGGGCCATGCGTACGCGGTGACAGACGTGCGGAAGGTCCGTCTGGGCCATGGCCTCCTGTCCTTCTTCAAGTCAGAGAAGCTGGACATGATCCGCATGCGCAACCCTTGGGGAGAGCGGGAGTGGAACGGCCCTTGGAGTGATACGTGAGTTGGGATGGGCAACTTGTTTTGGTGGGAGAAGCTGTGTTGGAGCAAGCCTTGGGACATGAGACAACCTGACTGCATCCACACTCATAGGATAACAGTGTATGGGCAGCTGTGGGATGATGGTTCAACCCATGTCCTAAACCTACTATTTCACTTGGGGTAGATTAATTTCTTGCCCTGGCATACCTGGAGGTCAGCAGAAGGGTGGCTGAACTTGGCAGACCTTCCCATTAAGGCTCTGGTGGGTGTTGTGGTGAAGTTGCCAGCATGTTTAGATTAGATATTAGGAAGAAATTCTTTACTGTGATGGTGGTGAGGCACTGGAACAGGTTGTCCAGAGAAGGTTGTCCAGAGAAGCTGTGGATGCCCTATCCCTGGAAGTGTTCAAGGCAAAGCTGAATGGGGCTTTGACTAACCTGGTCTAGGGGGAGGTGTCCCTGCTCATGACAGGAGGGTTGGAATGAGATGATATTTAAGGTCCTTTCCAACCCAAACCATTTTGTGATTCTATGTTCATTCACACTAGCAAAGGAAGTTTATAGCTCACCTTTCTGCTCCCAGTCTTGTTCCAGCAAAATAGCATCCAACAGAATCAGCCTCTGCCACCACTGACTGCTGTGATGTCTGTGGATGAGATGAGATGAGGAACCAAAGGCTGGTGTAATCAGAGCCAAGCAAGTTTGTTATCAGCCAGAGTGATTTTGTTACCTTCACTGATAGGGCTGTGATTGTACTGGTGAAATAAAATCTTGCCAGGCTGGATTCAATTCCACTGGTCAGGAAAGAAGTTGAAGTTCCAAACCATGCTGCACGTCCCCCATGTTTGGAAGATAATCTAACCAGAGCAGCATGGGGACGGGCTACATGGAGGAAGCTTTATACAGTGCGTCTGCTTCTTCTTTTTGTTCCCTTGCCTCAGTAATGATCCTGTTCTCTTTCCACAGCTCAGAGGAGTGGCAGAATGTGAGTAAAAGTGAGAGAGAGAAGATGGGGATGACGGTGGAAGATGATGGAGAGTTCTGGTGAGTCCTTCCTGGGTTTGTCACCACAGGCCAAGCCCACAGCATTCTCCTACCCCATGGAGCATGTGAGTCATTTCTGTGCATACAGCTATCCAGAGAACACAGCCTTCCAAGCCCTAGGATCTTTAGGAAAGCCCCCCTCTTTGAGCCCATGGATATTAGCTTTGGATAGGCATGACCCTAGGATTGCAAGCTGCTCTGTACCACACTGGGGCCAAACCATTTCACCAGTGTACAGAGAACCTGTTATAAGTGTGCTGAACTTAACACCTTCTCTGAGTACAGCATGTACCCTTGTGTGGAGAAAGGGCCACTATGCTGCTTCTCCCACTTTGAAACATGCAGCTCCATTGTTTAAACTGAAGAAGTATTTACTGCATGCATGGGGAAAGGTGTCTCCATCTCTTTTGAAGATATTTGATGAATAACTTCTTATTCAACGGCCATCAGAGACAACCACAGTCTCTAACAGGTGATCAAGAGAATCCAAGCAGTGTCCTGTTCCAGGAAATGAAGCAGCATAACTCAGCTATGCCCTTTCTTGACTTAGGATGACCTTTGAAGATTTCTGTAAATACTTCACGGACATCATCAAGTGCCGTATGATCAACACGTCCTACCTGAGCATCCACAAGACCTGGGAGGAGGCAGTGCTACATGGGGCATGGACCAGAAGCAATGACCCCTTGAAGAATCGCTCTGGAGGCTGTATCAATCATAAGGACACCTTTTTGCAGAACCCCCAAGTAAGTCATGGAGCAGAGGACCTTCTGGAGCCTTTGCATGTGCTTCCAAGTGTTTAAATATCCTACAGGGACCTAGAAGGTCAAAATGGCTTCCAGACCTCTAATAGATTAAATGTGCTCTCATGGTGTAGGAGTGGTATTCCCCGATTTAGCGTTCCCACTGAAACCCCTACAGACCACGTGCAGCCCACTCACACTCCACTCACTCTCTGCCTGATCAAATTCCAGTTCTTTTGCCCAGACTTGGGCACTGTGAAATGACCAAGGCAGATGTAGTCTATAGGGCCATTAACTTCTAGCTTGAAGTTCATCTCCTGGTTCAAACTTTCCAGAGAAAAGGAAGCTTTGGGGGACCTTATCTCTCTTTCTGACTACCTGAAAGGAGGTTGTAGCCTCTTCTCTCATGTAAGAAGTGACAGGACAAGAGGAAACAGCCTGGAACAGTTGTTAGAGGAAACAGCCTCAAGTTGTTCCAGGTGAGGTTTAAATTGGATATCAGGGAAAATTCTTCACTGAAAGAGTGGTCAGACATTGGAACAAGCTGCCCAGGACAGTGATGAAATCACGGTCAGACATTGGAACAAGCTGCCCAGGACAGTGGTGAAATCAGCATGCCTGGAAGTGTTCAGAAGGCATATGGATGTGGCACCTGGGGGCATGGTTAACAGTGAACATGGTAGCCTGAGGTTAATGGTTGGACTCAGTGATCTTAGAGATCTTTTCCAATGTAAATGATTCTATGATTCTATCCTGTCCTGCACTGAACTGGAATTCTCAATATCATGAACCAAGTCCTTGTGAGTCCTTCATCGATTCTATCCTGTCCTGCACTGAACTGGGATTCTCAATATCATGAGCCAAGTCCTTGTGAGTCCTTCAAGGGATAAGTAGGATTGTCTGGTCCATGGCAGGAGTTGTCATCAAGGATTTGGGAGAGTTGTTTCCAGTTTCCAGCCCTGTATTAGCCTTCATCTTAGGTATCTGTGAACATCAGTTGCTCCTTCCATACTTTGTAGGAGAACTTGTGTCAGACTGCCAGGTCTGAAAGTCTCTGGTATGAGATTCCTTGGATTCTGCCAAGCAATTCAAAGACTGGATTTCCCAGTCTTTTTCAAGATGAGCCAAAAAGGTTTCTGGCTTGGCAGAATGATGCCAGTAACAAGCAGGAAGGGGTATGGGCTCTCAGTGGGTACTGAGGTCAGGCTGTCCCTGCAGGGAGATGGGTGAGAAGAAGCTGAGGTTATCTACTGTGTGCCCACCCTCACCCCTGCCCAGTGGCTCTCAGTGGGTACTGAGGTCAGGCTGTCCCTGCAGGGAGATGGGTGAGAAGAAGCTGAGGTTAACTCTACTGTGTGCCCACCCCCACCCCTGCCCAGTAATCCTGTCTCAGTAGAATTCCTCCCTTACCTTCCTCCCTTTGCTTCTAGTATGTGTTTGATGTGAAGAAGGCAGAAGATGAAGTGCTGATCTCCATCCAGCAGAAGCCAAAAAGGACGAGTCGCAAAGAGGGCAAAGGAGAGAACTTGGCCATAGGCTTTGATATCCATAAGGTAGACTGGGGTTCCTGCATGTTTGTTAGTGGTGGAGAGGTACACCAGTCCTGCATGACCACTGGTATTGTTCATTTAAGCATTATCTGGGTGCTTCTGGTGTGCCTTCAGCACAGCCTGCCACCTTCTAGAGATGAAGAGAGATTTCAGAGCTGTGCAGTGACAGCGTGGACCCCAGGTTGCCCAGAGAAGCTGTGAATGTTCCATCCCTGGAAATGTTCAAGGCCAGGATGGATGGGGCTTTGAGCAACCTGGTCTAGTGGAAGATGTCCTTGTTTCTGGCAGGGGAGTTCACTACATGGTCTTTAAGCTTTCTTCCAACCCAAACAGTTCTATGATTCTGTGCAGTTCTCTTTGCTAAAAGCAATGATTAGTCTGTTCTCTCCAAATATTAAAACCCGGTAGACTAATCCTTATGTGTTGCTTGCTGGGCCCCCAGTGTTAAGTTGGGATGCAAGAAATGAGTCCCTGAGCCGACAGAGTTGGGAAAGCCACATCCACACTTGTTTTCCATCCAGCCTAATTGGCATCATTTTGCTGGTTCTCCTAACTCCAGCTCTCCCAGCACTGTGGACTGAGTCCTTGCAGTCTGATCCCCCATGGTGGATACCAGTACATTGTCAGCCAGTGACAATCTGCTGAGTATCGCACTGTGGTCTCTGCCCAGGTGGAGCTGAATAGGAACTACCGGATGCACACCTTGCAGCAGAAGGTGGCCAGCTCCATCTACATCAACTCCCGCAGCGTCTTCCTGAGGACAGACCTGAAAGAAGGCCGCTATGTCATCATCCCCACCACATTTGACCCTGGTAACGAAGGCGAGTTCCTTCTCAGGATTTTCACAGACGTGCCTTCAGATTGCCGGTAAGGAGTATGAGTAGTGGTGGAGAGGAATTGGCTATTTGGAGACACCTTTGTGCCTTGGAATGTGGCTTTCCTAATTGGTCATAGTTGTGCCTGCAGCTGGTGTTTGGCTTCCTTTCAGGGGTGGTCAAGAGACAGGACATTTTTACAGACTTGCAGAGAAGCTCCTGCTCTGCTTCTAGGCACGACATGGCAGAGCATCCCAAACCCAGGCTGAGGCAACTGAAGTGGGAAGCAAAGTCTGACATTGTGCCAAAGCAAACTCTGGGGTGAGGCTGGGCATCTGTCAAAGGCCACATGTTTTTCCCTGCAGAGAGCTGACCCTGGATGAGCCACCACACACCTGCTGGAGTGGGATGTGTGGTTACCCACAAGTGGTATCCCAGATCCATGTCCTTGCTGCAGCTGGACTCAAGAATCAGGACTCACAAGGAGGTACTGATCTTTCCTTGCCTGTTGTCTAGCCCTGGAGGAGTTGGGGGATGGTTTCTTCAGTAGGAAAAGGCAGAAGTAGTTTTATGAAGTAGGAAGTTTCTGGATTTATGTCCTCACATATTTTTTCAGTGAACACGCCTGATTCAGAGGAGGAGAAAGTCCATGGAGAATCACTCACTTCTTGCTGTGGACATGATCTGGGAGCTGTTATATTTTGGCTGTTGTCTAAGATCCTTGGGAAATCCTGCCAAAACTTCCATAAACCCTTAGCAGTGCTCCAACACAGACTTTTCTTATGAATATGAGTAGCTGTGAAAGTGAGGAATTGCATTTAAAAGCTTTTTAATAGGAAGGACAGAGAAACAATGGAACAGGTTGATGTGTAGTGTTCATCACTGGAGGCTAGATAAATGTCTCCCAGTAGAGAATAGATCAAATTTAGCTCATTTTGGCATGGTGTGGATCAAGATCAATTCTGACATCCAACACTTCTCTTGCATGGAAAACAGCAGCAGGACTGTACCTCCCCACGTCCTGCAGGTGCACAAAGGCTCATGGCAGGAGCTCCATGTTCAGTCTTCCTGGAGCATCTGGACCAAGAAGCCCAGTGGTAGTGATGACTTGCAACAGGAGATCGTTAAAGTAGGGACTAGAGGTCTAGAGGTTGCAATTAGGGAAGCAAATATCTTTCCATCATGGGAACAGACCAGATCCTAGCCTTTCTTTCCCATTACCTGAGTCAAGGACACACGTTGAATGTGGCAAGGTTTAGCCAAGCACTTTCGAGCCAAATTTAAAGTATAAAAATTGAACACTTAAAAAATCTTAAATAAAAGCCAATTAAAATTATACTTCTTTTTCACCCAGGAATTATTGTCAGGGCTGTGTATCCCTGGAACCCTAAAAGTAACAAGCAGCATCCTTTCTAAGCAAGGACTAGCCAAATGTACTTGTTTATGACATGCCACAAAGGGAGTCCTTTTATCCTGTCTGGAGTTTGGCAAGGGAATTTTACCCTAGGCAGGTTGTTTTTTCCTGGGTTATTCGCAATAGCTCAGTGTATCTGTAGCAATGCAGGGGAATCTGTAGCCAAATGCCTCTGAACTGTTCACAAAAACAAGGAGGTTTACCTTTCCTTTAGACAAGGATATATGTGGATTCTGGAGCCATAAAAGATTTTTTTTTCCACAAAAGCACCCTGGGAATTGCTTTTTTCCCAGCTATTTTCCAGTTATTCAGCTCCCATCACCAACAGCCTGCATGTTTGGTGCTTTCCAATGTGATGGCATGTCTTGTACATCCCAGCCCAGGCCTTTCACACTGCTTTGGAAATAGGGATTTACAGATAGGAATTTGTCTCTGGCTGATGGAATATGAGGATTTAATGGGACATCCCAAAGGACAAGGCTAGTTTGGAAACACAGCTGTGGCATCCAGCAGCTGTGTCTCACCAGGGGAGCGAGGTCCTTGCAAACAGAAAGTTAGCAAGGAAATGGTCTGACAGCCAAAGATGTGGTTCTTAAATCCCTGGCTCTCAGAAGGGAGTATTTTGTTCCTCCTCATTTCCAATATCCCTTGGACAAGAAAACTAATCCAGCTGGTCTGTGTTTACATTATAGCCACTAAAGCTGATGATAAGAAAATACATTCTGGCAGTTAAATTTCCATAGCAATAGCTCATTCTTTACTGAAATTCCCAAAACGAGCACTTGTTTCCTAAGAGGAAAATACCTACTAATGAAGGACTCTTTCCTTCTCCTGGAAGCTCAGGTACCATCCAGCTATAGGCTGGTAGTCTTTGAACTTCATAACTTTATTCTCCATCTGGTGCTTCCTAGTGTGAAACAACCTCTGTGAGCCTGTCTCTTCTCCATGCTTTCATTTCTGTCTGCCTTAGGGAGAGCAAATCCTGAAAGGAGTGTCTTCCAGGAAAGACTTTTCACAGTGGTCAGGAGGATTTTGAGTGATGCAGGAGTGTTTATGTAGAATATGGGACCAAGGAAGAATGGCCATTTCATAGAATCATTTATGCTGGGAAAAACCTTCCAAGATCAACCCCCAAGTCCAACCACTAGCCCAGCGCTGCCAGGCCCACCACTAAACCATGTCCCCAAGTGCCATATCTATATGTCTCTTAAATACCTCCAGGGATGGTGACTCCACCAGTGCCTTGAGCAGCCTGTTCCAGTGCTCAACAACCCGTTTAGTGAATTAGTTTTTCCTAATACGCAATTTAAACCTCCCCTGACACAACTTGAGGTCATTTCTTCTCATCCTGTCACTTGTTACCTGGGAGAAGAGACCAACCTCTGCCTGGCTACGACCACCTTTCAGGTAGTTGCAGAGAGCAAGAAGGTCTCCCCTGAGCCTCCTTTTCTCCACGTTAAACACCCCTGACCCTTCACCAGCTTTATAGCAGTCCATCACTACCGGCTGCCAGGGGACAATGTCACCTAATAGAATTAAACCTGAGCCCAACAGCCAAGCTCCATGGACATCATCTGCAGTGTGACAAACCCTTTGGCAGACACCTATCTCCTCTGGTGGGGTGTGGAGGCAAAGTGCTGCACATCACTCCTGGAAAAGGGCTCTAAGTAATTACAGAAGCTCCAACAAAGCAGAATTTCCCTTTTATCTCTCCAGGAGCTGACCCTTATGTAATCATAAAGTGCGAAGGGCAAAAAGTTCGCTCTCCAGTGAAGAAGAACACGCTATCACCAGAGTTCGATGTGAAAGGGCTCTTCTATCGCAAGAAACCAGGACAACCCATCATTGTTCAGGTACCTAGCAAGCGAGCAGTGAGCTGAGGGACAGAGACCCTCTCTCACTTGGACCCCTCCACCCTCTCCTCACAATGCCTACAGCAAATCTCTTCCCCAAGGCTGAGCATCATTAGTTAATGCAGCTTAACCTCTCACCACCACGGTGACATCTGATAAAGGCATGTCCATCACTCCTCTCACTTACAGAGTTACAGCCCCACACCTCACCACCTCCCCAACTGGGACCAACAGGTCCTCAATAACCCCTTCTCCTCTCCAGTGCGTGAAGGTTGGTTGCCACCCTCAAGGAGCTGTCCTCACCTCTGTTTTATTTCCACAGATCTGGAACCACAGCTTAATAAGTGATGAGTTCTTGGGCCAAGTGGTGCTCACAGGGGATCCCAGTGACCGGCAGTCAGTGCACACACTGCATCTCCAGGACAAGGGGAACAAGAGGTCAAATGATCTCCCTGGAACCATTGCTGTGATGCTGCGCAGCAGTAACATCCTCACTAATGTCTGAGTACTCAAGGACTCTTCTTCTGGTGCCACATATGTGAATATAAACATGCACATATACATACATATCTATAGAGAGAGACACACACACAGCCTACCTACCATCTGCAAAGTGTATATGAACCATGCCTGCATTCCACTCAGAGGAGCCAGTCTTGTGTTTTCAATGTTAAAAAATGGTGCCTTTTTTGGGGGAACCACAATGATCCTTCTGCTGGCATCTTCTGCAGCCCCCATCGCTGCCATGTGCCCTGTGGGATCGCTGTGACCACGCTGTGTGTCCTGACAGCCAGAGCATGATGCCCTGATGTTGTTTGTTTACACAGGCTGGCACACACACGTGCCACCATGCACACGTGTGGTCACTGCGGTTCCACCAGCTGCTTCAACGCATCTTCAGTGTGTCTGCTTGGGTTAAGAGTAGTGTGCATGGAGTTGTCTCCCTTGAAATTGCCATTTAATCACTTATCTGTGGAGGTGCCACAGCAAAGGAGAAGTGGAAAAACAGATTGGGGCCTTTTGGATTTTTTTTGAGTATGGGTTTGCATACTGCAAATGGAGGGAAAATGTACAAAGGCAGCCCAAATCCCAAATCCACAGGAGCAACAAGACCAAATGCTCCATCATTTTAGGGATAAGCTGTCTTCACCCAAGTCTTGTTCAACCCCATGCAACTCTGAAGTGTAGAAAGATGTTAACAACTATGGTGGGACAACTGTTCTCTGGGGTTAAGTTTTTGAATCAGTCTGGACTTGGCTCCTGCATGTGCCTCTTGAACTGCCATGGTGCCTGCCATCTCTACATCTTGATGCCATCCCTATCCCAAGAGCTCACCCCAGGAGCTAAGGTGGGTTGTCTGCTGGGGCTATTCACTGTTTAGGTAGTAGAAGACTGTTTCCTCTGAAGACCGAAGCATCAGATCCAGAGGATGGGGAGCTTTGTTCCATGGACTCCATATTTACTGCTGCATATAGTGCATCATTTCTCAGTGCGTCACTTTCCCAAATTATTTTTTGAAACTAGTGGGATTTTAGTTTGTGCTAGGGGAGCACTGATCCCAGTACAGCCTGAAAATGCTGGGAATATTTAGTTCATATCAGTGTCCATCTCTCACTTTTAATTTCCAGTCTCCTGGCCTGGAGGATGAGTTCTACAATGCTAGGGCCAGTCTCGGGAGCACAACCCAAATACATCCTTGGGGGCATGTTTAAGGCCATGGTCTGCTCCTGATTTCCATAAAAATTGGGTTAATCTTCCTTATTCCACTGGGTGGCAGAATCCGGCTTCTTATAAACCATAAGCCAAACAACAACCCGTTGTCTGGGCTTTCAGCAGCTGATCAGGGCAGGTTTCAAACCATTTTTTTCTCTTGTCGTTTGGGGGGGTTTATTCATGTGCCTTTAAAATGGTGCAAGTTAAGGGATTTTTCTGTTAGATTTTCTAACAAGCAAATCTTTTGCAGTCATCTGCATGAAAGTGGAAATTAATACATATGAAAGAATCTCATTTTGTTAAATTTTGGCCTATGCAAAGTCCTTTTCCTTCAAGAACAAGTCAACAGGAAGCTGCCTTTTGCCATAATAAGTAGGGCTTCTGCTTGTCCTACTAAACACCCATGTTTGTGCTGCAAGTCTGTATTTACGTTTTTAAAGTCCCTAAAGATCTGCTCAGTCTGTAACGTGGCAAAGTGTTCCCCCAAAGTCACATTACCTGCCAGCTCAGTTTGTGGTGCCTCCAGAAGCAGACAGTACAAGTGCATCAATTTTTGCAGACTTTCTCCTTTCCTCATCTTCACAGTTTATCTTCTGTGTTTTTTTAGCAAATTTGCTAGTTTTTTTAGTTCTTGTTTTCCAAGACTTAGAGGCAAGCAGTGGTCCCTATGATGCTCTTTCCAGGTCTCAGTTATTCCTGGCTTGCACTGAGCACCCTCCAGCTCCGGGTGCCATCACTGGGACCAAGTCTGGTTCAGCATCTTGCAGAATTGGCCTAAATGCTCCTAGTTAGTGACATTTTGATCCCAAGGTCAAAGTGAATCCTTGAATTTGGGCAGACTGATTCAAAGATTTTTTTACTTCGTTCTGGTTTTGTTTATGAGACTCATCACTGAAAATGAATGGAAGAGCATTGTGGAGCTAGAAGATGTGATCTGGGTCTTAAGAGATGACTCACAGTTCAGAGTGAGGGACTGTGATGTCCAAAGATACCTCACCTGACAGGGAGATGAGCTATTTGGCATCACAGAAATATGGCAGGAGCTTTTCACCATCACCAGCAGATGGAGGTATCCAGCCTGCCTGCATTAGCCTTGTTTTCTCAGGAAATCAGGCTACAGATAGGTTCAGCAATGGAGACCCATTTGGCCAGGAGTGCCCTGCCATGTACCAAATGGCACTGTGGTCCCCAAAGAGCGGTGCTGAAGCTTGCCAAGGAGTAGCAGTGCCCTGGTACCCATGGGCAGCCTCCTTCCTTCCTCCAGAGAATCAAGCCATAGAGAAAGGAAAGGCAGCTTTTTAACAGCTTCTTCAAAAAATAAAATCACACTGTATCAGGACCAAAATGTCTTAATATCAGTAATATTTGTCCTTTTTTATTTCAAAAGCTTTGGAAAAGTTAGAGCAGAAGTCTTCTTCCCCTACATTTCCAATGAAATAACAAAAATTGCCTTTGTTACTTTTTTGAGGTCTTGTTTGTAGAGCAGATGAGGGAGGGCAGTTATTGAAATGCCATTCCTACTCTTGATGCCTTTTCTCTTTGAATGAAGTAAACAGAAATATTCAGGGGTTTTTTGTCTGAGAGGAGGACGGGTCTGATAAACACTTTCTAGTCCCTCCCAGGTGATGTAGGACATGTCTCTGATTTACTTTACGTTTCTTTTGTTAATCATTTCAATGGGTGCAAGCTGCCTCCCATTACACTCTGTGAAATCCATTTCTTTTAGATGTGTGCATGTTAAAAGAGGCTGTGACTTGTCTTCATCTCCAAAGGCACTGACGTGTCATGCTGCACAAGATCAGAGAGTGGTCCAAACAGAAAGCCAATGTTGTACAGCTGTAAACCTCCTATAAATAAATAAATTGTGTATATTTTATTCAGACTCCCTGCCTTGAAACTGCTGTGTTCTTCCAGAATGCTTTTGATGGGCACAAGGTGGCTCTGCAGAGCCTTTTGAATTTGCTTGATTCACTGAAATCCATTCAAATTATTTTCTCTGTGGACTTTGAGACTGAGGCAAGGCAATCTGTATGAGGGTTACACACAATGTTACACTCACGTTTACTGGGAAAATCCACTGAAGGGATGGGGAACCTCCTCTGACTAAACCTTTGCATTCTGTGCCCCAGAGTCACCACAGTACAGGAAACGTGTTTTTTTTGAGCCTCACCTGACTTGGAAAAAACTTTGCAGATTGCTTAAAAAAAAAGCAGGAGGGTGGTTTATGGGCAAAGCAGAAGGAGGATGTGGGTTTTGGATGGCTTTCCCTCAGAGGACAAACCTGCACATTATGCACAAGGAGCATTTGAAAAGCTTGGCCCTGCCCATGAGAGGCTCCATTCCTCCTGCTCTAACACACGGACCCAAAGTGCTGGTGGTGGGATCTTGCTTCCATCTCAGCTTCCAGCCTCCAGTTCCACTAGCTGCCTATGCTCGAGGTCTCTGCAGCATGGAAGAGCTGTGTGCTTCTACAGCCCACCCTCAAGAGCCTGGAGCAGACATCTGGGAAAAACCCTTTTGTTGTGGGGTAGGGGCACCTTCCCAGATCCTTCAGCTCCTGGCATCATCCCTTGGGACAAAGTGTGTCACCAAACATTAGACAAAGAAAGGAGCACCCTACTCCTCTGTCTCCACCACCGATACAGCTTGCAAGGACCTTCCTTCAGGGGAAAGCCTCACAAACATTTCAATCCCCCAAACAGCCTAATGCTCTCCTAGAGTGTGTTCTGAGCAGTAGACCTGTCTGGGCACCTGTGGAGCTGCGATACTTGTTGCTGGACATAGCACAAGGTCTCTAGTGTAGACCAGGTGGCTTTACTAGAGTGAAGCCAGGAGTCTTGCTTTGTGGACACCTGAAAAAAAGGTCTATGCAAGCCTGAAAAAGCCACAGGTGTTCCCATAGGCATGGAGGTGATGCTTCCCCACCAGCATCAACATCTTGATTTTGCTGGTACTGGAGCAGTGGGCTTGAAAGTGGAGGTTAGTTTGCAGCCCTGCCTGCAGGGATGCTGGAATTGGTGTGTGATCCCAGTATGTCAGTGTGGAGTTGTGGAGAGATTGCACATGTTTGGAGACCAGCAGCAAGTAGTAGAGTAGTGCACAGCTCCAGGCAAGATTCAGCCCAGGCTCACCAAGAGTCCTGCAGCATCTCCTCCGTCCAGCATTACCATTTGACAGGGATTTCTTCTCACAAACATTTAATTAAGTATAATTTTAATAAGGGACCTTTTATAAGGGCATGCAGTGATAGGACAAGAGGGAATAGCTTTAAATTGATAGAGGGTAGTGTTGGATTAAATATTAAACTGCCCAGGACTCAGTCAAAGATTATTGGGTGGCTCCACAAGAACAGGCCATATTCAAAAAACAAACTGTTAGAAGAAAAATAAGAGGGGAAAGATTCCTTGGAATACTCTGTTTCTTGGAACAGAAACCACTGCTAAACATAATGTAGAGAAGGGGGGATGGCTTTAAACTGAAAGAGTATAGGTTTAGATTAGTGGAAGGTGCCCCTGCCCATGGTGGATGGCCTGGAATTAGATTATCTTTAAGGTCCCTTCCAACCCAAACCATTCTGTGATTCTATGATTCTATGATAAACTGGCAATGCAGGGTCTCCTTTTGACTTGAAAGATCATCTTCATGGAGGAACAAACATGCTACCATGGTTAAAGATTATGCTGGAATATTTCTTCTCCTGTATAGCCTGCAGCTTCTACCCTAATGCCCAAATACATTCCCCCTCATACGGCTATGTGTCCTGCTGTTCAAAAGGATGGGGGATTTCCAGCAAGAAGGGCTACAGAGGTAGCAACGGGATGGGCTCGTTGCCTGTCCCTCAGAGCTGT